ACACACACACACACACACACACACACACACACACACACACACACACACACACACACACAATCTGGTACAGCTATCTTTATGGGGACCTGGCATTGACTCCCATTAAAATCAGTATGCATTTTCCGGGAAAATCGTCCCCACCAAGTAGTAAAAACAAGGACACACACACACATTCAGATTTATACACCTAACCTCTCATTTCAGACCTGCATGTTGTTTTTGTTCAGGCAGTGGAGGAGCTTTTGAAGAGAGGTGCAGATCCTAACCTTCCTCTGGGTTTTAGAGTGGGAAGCGCCCTCTGTGCTCTTGTCAACACCAACTACCAATTATGTGGCAACAAACCTAAACTGGTACACACAACCTCACACGTATAGAGCTGTTGAGTTGAATTGGATTCTGCTAAATCTGTAAACCAGTTGTTTCACCAAATTATCAGTTTCATTGAAAATGATGTTTTTTGAAAGTTGATTTTTGTTTCTTTGATGTAGTTGGACATGTTAGCTAAGGCTGGTGCTGACATCCTGATGCCGGTTACTGTGGGCGGTGCTGTGGGAACTGCAGTGGATTATGCATACTACTCATTCAACAAGGTAAACCAATAGTTGGAAAAACTGCATTATCTGTTGTTTTGCACTCATCGTACATTTGAATGCTGGTGAAGTCTTGAATTGTTTGTTGTGAGCACTTCTATCAGAACAGCTACCATCATGCACTGTGTTACGCCTCAGAACCTTAGGACTACACCCAATTTGTTGTACGCTCAGAGGATTTTGGARAGGGAAACAGCCAACGCACAACGCTCACTGCTCCGCATGATGACTAATTTACAGAAACAATCAGCAAGCCAGACGACAAAGCTTACAATAAATAGTCAGTGCTACATATTGTTTGTTTTCCTCAGTGATTCACATTGTTTACGTGTATGCACGGAAGTACCACTAACGCAGATGTTTGCCTAGATGATCTTCGCTCAAATGCACCGACAGGCAGCAGAGAAGAATTATCAACTGAAGAGACAACTGAAAACTACCGGTAATCCCACATTCTTACTCCAGATGCCTTTTACCTACTTGTTTTAAAGGACACATCCGTGTCTGCGTACATCTTTTCTTAGAGAACCCAGGCTGAAGTTCTGCTATCACTGTGGTCGCTCTGCGTCTGTGAGGTTGACTGCATGTGCTCGTTGCTGCAAGGTCTTCTTCTGCTCTGAGACCTGCAGGCTCACAGGACTGAACGAAGGGCACAGAGAGGAGTGTTTCCAGGTTTCAGGTGAGAGTCAGGACCTCTACGCCTGAACAACCACAGCCTGGCAAACCTAAACATCAAACCCTAGACCAAAGGTGTCAAACGTTTTAACACGTCCTCTTATAAACATTGAAAAGTAGTATGTGTTCTGCCTTTTGTAAGTTACACTGCCCTAGAACGCCCTCTAGTGGTTGCTTTGTAATATTGTTTTGGTTACTCAGCAAAAAATATCCAAGGTGGCGCAAGGTCATATGTAAAATGTTGTTTCCTTGGAGAAGATTTATCCATAAGTATGGATTATGACAAAAATAATTTTCTTCTTATTTTGTGTAAAAAGGATATTGGAATTTGTGCAGTTATGTGAATTTTGAACATGCTATTGTGTTAGCTTGCAGCAAGCATGAAACAAGCTAGTTTGCTATGTTAGTTTGTCAACATCGTGCTTTTAACTTTTCAGTTTTACTATGGTCAAAGAGAAGGCAATGGTCAGAGACCATTCTTCAATACATCAGCACAAAAAAGAAGGACAAGTTAATATATTGGAGCATCATTATCTCGCTGTCTGTCTAGCTGGTGAAAATGAGAAAACTCTGGGCCAAGACAACATATTACATGTGCGACTGACTAAATCAAAAAGAAAATAAATTGTATAGGTCTTCTGGACGGGTTCTTCTCTAATGAAACGTTTCGTCTCTTCTTCAAGAG